CCTGAGTACAGGGGGTCTCTCACAACGCACCTCACCAAGCAAGCACACGCGGGGTGGCACGCGCAGCCCTGCCTACAGGACGGTGCCCCCGCCGCCCACCCTCACCTAGAAGCCCCGCGGAGCACGAGGCTCCCGCCAACGCCTGAGCTACAGGCTGGCCCGCCCGGCAGCAGCACAACAGCACCAACCTCTCGTCTCTGGGAACCCAGGGAGCAACCTCGACCCACCGAGCGGGGAGGTCGCCCCACACGCAAAAGCAGCGCCTCAACCTGCACCCTCTGACGGGACAGGGAGGGGTCATTCCCACCAGCTGGATGGCTAGAGCAGCCGGCTGCAACGCCGCAGCCTCCCCACGCCTGATTACAGGGCGGGCGGGCCGCTCGGGGGACAGAGGGCTCCGCAGCTTGGGACACACGCCCCGGCTACGGGGCTGTCACGCCGCCAGCGGAACAGGCGCCCACGCAAGAACAGGCCCAAGCCCTGGCTACAGGGCGGCCTCGGCCACACAGCTACCACGTGGCCCTGATCTACACCAAGTGCAAAGGAGGAAGACAGGACACTCGCTGCGCTCGCGGGACTGAGAGGGAACACCCCTTTTGCGGCGTGCACCACAGTCCTCCGTTCCCCCCAGGGAAGTCGAAGCTAAGCTGCAGCCATCTTTGTGGGGGCCTAAAGGGAAAGCGCAGTCGCTCTCTCACTCCACAAACACAAGCAAGGAAAGGAAGGGCAACGCGCACACACAGAGGCGACTTTCCCAAAGGGAAGGACAACCCAGCGCAGCCAAACCCTGGGAATAAACCCACAACCGCGGGCAACAGACAAGAGCCTGTGACCTGTCCCTAGCCTGCACGGAGGCCACAGACCTCAACGTGCCAAGGGGCTTCCCAGCTAAAGCCAAAGGCCAGATGCCGTGACGCACACCCCGAGTACGGGGCCGTCGCACTGACAGGCCACCTCCAGGCAACGATGATGCCGAGGGGCCGGAGGAGGAAGAGGGCCGGGGAAACGGCACTACCCTGCTTACAGGGTGGCCTCGGGGTCCGGCGAGCTCCGTTTCCCACTCAGGTGCGGAGAGGTGGCTCTCGCCCTGCGTTACAGGGGCCCACGCTCCCCAGGCAGCCAAAGGAGCAGCAAGGCAAAAGGCCAACTACAGCAAAAGCAAAGACCCGAGCCCTGCTTACAGGGAGGTCGCCCAGCACAAAGCCGGCCAAGGCGCCGGCAACGCTCAAACTCCAATGGGACTGAATGTGACTGCGGCCCCGCTAACGGGACGGCTGCTTTGCCCAGGGAGCCTCTCTCCTTCCCCCCCGCGTCGGCACGCTTCCGCATCCTCTTGCTTGTTCCTGCCTCTGGCAGCGGCTCCTGAAACATCAGCGGTGACACCATTAGACCTCCAGGGCGGCAAGCCCCCCACCGGAAGGAAAAGGGAAACCAACCCAACATGGCAGAGGAACTCGGCACGCCACCACCCAGCCAAGGAAGGCCTTTCCTCCCTTCCCTCCCTCCCCCGCCCTTGCACCAGCCGTTCATTACAGAAAAACTGCTCAGAGCAGCTTTTCTCACCTCAGTGACGCATGCTGTACTTCCAGTTGTAGCTGCGAGGGATCGCAGAGTTGGTCAGATTTGCCAAGTTTGTCTGGCAATACAAAGAGCAGCAGCCAAAGTGTCAGCTGCCCTGCTTACAGGGGACCCCCCATCTGCAACTTCATTGGAAATATAACAGCTTTTATTATATTAATTGTTCTGCGTAAATTCAACCACTGTGCCATCTTGGCACTTCTGTATTGTCAGTCTTTCCCATCTGTTCAGGAGGTTCTTTTGCCTTTTGTTTCTGTTCTCTTCTGGTTGATCTGAGATTCCAGCTGCTATTAATTCACCTCATTTTTCATTCACCAGTTCATAGACGTAAGTGGTGTGAAGTTACAAGTGAATTTTCAGCTTATAGCATCTACTGCCATGGATTGTCTTAAAGTAGAATACAGAATTTGGCGCTAAAGGCTAAACGTTTCTCTTCGCATCTACTCTTTCTCTGCTATAAAGCTTCTTTAACACACTTATATTATTAAAAGCAACAACACCGCTTTACTTCTTCCCCCTTTTCAGCAGCAATGCAATTCTCGCATCCTCCCCCATTTTCACCACGCCATTGGAAAGCAGAGAGGCAAGAAAGCAGAGAGGCAAGAAAGCAGAGAGGCAAGAAAGCAGAGAGGCAAGAAAGCAGAGAGGCAAGAAAGCAGAGAGGCAAGAAAGCAGAGAGGAAAGAAAGCAGAGAGGAAAGAAAGCAGAGAGGAAAGAAAGCAGAGAGGAAAAGCCGCGCGCTTCAATACTGCGATAACGTTTATTATGTTTTATTGTTGCTGCTCGCCGCTGCCTCGGTGCGTCTTCTTCCACGTGGCGACTCGCCCCGCTTGTCGCGCCTGCGCCCCTCCTCTGGGAGCGCGCTCAGAGCTGCCTGCGCTCGGTGCCGCCTCGGAGACCCCGGCTCCGTCCGCCCGCCAGCGGGGCAGAAGAGGCGGCTCCAGCCCCGGCTCCCTCCCGCCATCGAACTTCCACAGGCGGCTCCGGCCCCGGCTCCGTCCGCCCGCCATCGGAGCCCCACAGGCGGCTCCAGCCCCGGCTCCGGCTGCTTCCGTCGGAACCCGCGCGGCAGCGGCCCCGGCCCCGACCCGCTTCGCCCCGGCCCCGCCGCGCTTCGTCCTGGCTCCGCCACACCCCGCCCCCGTCGCTCCGCTGCTCCGGAGTCCGCTTACCGTGGCCGCCATCGACGCCGCCTCCGCCGCCGCCTTTCCCTCACAGCACCCCGCTTCTCCTCACGCGCTGTGGAAAGCGTCTCTCTCACCTGCCCGCGCGCGCACCTTATATGGGCATTCAGCCCGCCAGCCAATAGGAGCCCCGAACGCCGCCGTCGCTTCGCGCGCTTTGCTTCCCGCCGCTCGCTCTCCAATCCCCCTCAGCGTTCCCGCCCTTTCTAGCCGAGGGCAGCCGGGCCGGGGTCATCCGAAGGTCACGGCCGGGGTCACCCCGAGGTCACGGTCCCCCTCGCAGCCGTCGCCCCCCGGCCCTGGGGGCAGAGCCGCCCCACAGCTGATGGCACCTCGCTCGGAGCACCTGGCGGCGCTGCCCGCGGGAACTCAGTCCTTCCATTTCAGTACTGCTTTTAACTAGTGTTACCTACCGTACTGTGCATCGGGAACAGCAACACACACAGGCGTTCCTGCCTTAGCGGCGCCTGTCCACAGACATCATTAGAATAGAAATACGTACGTTTAAGGAATTCTTCTCTGCAACACCTCCCGTCTCTGCCCCTGCAGCGAAAATCCCTCAGAGAAACTGCGAGTAAGGGAAAAGCGTGACAGGAGCTGAGGGCTGCTGTATGGAGGACTCCATTTATTTGCTGTCTCAGGCTGTTCGTGTTCTGTAGAGCTGCTTGTGTTTCACAGCTTCTTCCCGCAGCACGGCTGGAAATGCCCACCTTTGCTCCCTTCCTTTCCTTCTGTCCTTGGCTACATTCTTCCTCATTGTAGCAACGGTACAAAAGAGGAGTAGGGAGGAGACCAAGCGGTGGATACAGAATAACTGCAGCTCCCACCGACGCCAAATAGCGTGTAGCAACAGCAGGAACGACTCCGCTGTGAGGAAGAGGTTCCCTGCAGGGAGTCTTTGGCCCCGCACGTAACCCAGGCAAACGGAGCGCCCTGGAGGAGGAAGGCAGCAGGACCCGAGGGACCCGGCTGCGTACAGCTGCTGTATGGCACCAGTGCAACCCGCTGGTTGGCCTCGGCTGCGCTGAGCGAAGGCAAATTCTCCTGGGCCACGTGCGTTCGCTCCAAAAGTAATGCCTCCTATTTATTTCCACAGAAAACGCAACAGGGAAAGCAGTAACTCTGGTTGCTACAGCAAATCCTCACCCACAAAATGCTCTTTTCCAGCATAGCCACCACCGTTAGCTTTGCATTTTTGCCAGCAATAAACAGGAGGCTGCGAGCTGTGCTCCTCAAAATCTGCGCCAGCACACGTGAGCCACAGCCACCGTCAGCACTGCTGAAGGGCACTGCATGCTGCCCCTCTGTGAGCACACAAACAAGCGCTCAGCAAGCACAGAGAGCTGCCGTTTTCTCCACAGAGAGGAATTCGGTGACACATCGTTGCTTCATGCACACTGCCTGGGTGTCAGGTGCCATTTTGTCACATGCCATGGACAACAACACGCGATGGAACACTGGTTGGAGGTTCGACCCCTGCTGCCACACCACCAAAATTCGCTTTTGATGTCGTGGGCCAACATTAACTCCTTAACACTCAGTGCACTGCATGATGTGAAGGAGCGACAACAAACTATCGTGAAACTGCAGCAAGGGATTGACCTGAAAGAGCACATGAGAACAGCAATCATAGATTCACACTGAGGCATTGCTCAAGATCTTGTCGCTTTCACCTGGTTTGGGGTATGGCTTTGCCCTGGGCTAGCCAGAGCATTTCTCAGGATCAGAACAGTAAGGTGACTGAGGTAGAACCACCACCTCAGAAACCCAAACCGCAGCAGAACCGCCGGTTTGTAGTCACCCAAGGATCGTTATGCTTGGTCACCTCTAGGAGGGTTTCAGTTTTACTGACCTTTCTAATAGCTCCATTCTAGATTGGATTTGCTAACAGCTGATAGAACAAGCCAACTGACAGCTGTGATAGAATGTGTGGTTCTCTGCTGCCAAAACGCATGTTTCCTGTTCACTGTTACAGGAAAAAGTTTCAAAATTCAATATCTGAAGGTCAAGACTTTCAGAAGTACCTAAGCAACTTAAAAGCCTAAGCTCTTTTTAGGCACTTGTAAACAAACTCAGCTTTTATACAGAGAAAGAACAGGTACAGCACCACTGCCCAGAAAATGCATTCCAACACAAAGGAGAGCAGAACATACTGAGAACGTTAACAGGACTTTTACCATTTTTCAGGCCATTACTTCTGTTTATATATGTGTGTATATTATAGTATGTATATATGTTTAAGCTGTTTATTCGTGAAATGGAAGTTTGTCTAAGATCTGCTACAGGTTTTGGTTGTGCTGAAGCTGTGTCTGGAAAGGTGGAGAACAATAATATTCATGCCTTGGAAGACCTGATTCAGGGCATTCATTTTCTAGTTTGAAGCTTAATTCTGCTTTTAGCTTGAAGTATTTTGAGAACTATCACATAAGATAGTTGAGATTAAGAAGTCACTGATAGCATGCACATTTATTTTGAAGCTCATACACTTCTGCATGCCCCAATGGGCCTGCTTACGTAACACTAAATAATAATACTTATGAGCCACCAGAGGGATTTCTCAAGCTAACATGACATCACAAAGTTTCTCCTCATCATGTCATAAGACAGTAATTATATCACAGTATGTATTAGGGATTATATTCCTTCAGTTCCACCACTCTTCTTACTGCCCGTGATTATTATCTATCACAAACTGAGTTACAAAGCTATGAGATGAGGCTGAAGAACAGCTGGAGAATTTCTTTTTACATTCTTAAATCTACATTTTATGTTACATTCAGAAAGGAAAAGAAGAAATCAGACTAGCTTTGGAGGCCATCTGCTGCCTTTCATGGATATAGCTTGTTCTTCAGGGACTTCCAGGCGCAGGCATTACAACGACAACTAGATGGATGGAAATAAACACAAGGCACTCAGAACTCCTGACGTTAACTCAATTTAAAGGGACAGATTTCCTTCTGATTTGCTTTTGTTCGGAAAAGCAAACCAGCACTGTTGGGAAGACAGCCAGTAAATGCAGACGACTGAAGAAGTATTGTCTATATTGGCTTTTCTTACAATAAACAAATAAACCAGTTTTTAAAAGTCTGCTCCTCTAAATAGGCTGCACTAAAAAAAAGCAGGGTTGTAGTCTGAAAAAAGGACAACTTTTCCCAAGATATACAGTAAAATAAAACATCTGTCATCTTTTCTTGCAATAATCTATCACTACTCATGGGATGCCCTTACTCATATATTCAGCATACTGCATGTACTCAGAACGCAGACACTGTGCTTTTAATGTCACTTGTGCACTGACCTGAAAGCATACTGAGCTAAATTACTTCATTTCAAGGCTAATTTGCAAAAAATAAAATAAAATAAAATTAAGCTGCACAACACATAGAATGAGCAAATAATCTATAATGGAAATTAGGCCCAAGTTTTCAAACAAAAATCCCACTTGTTTGACAATCTAGCAGGTCCATAACTATCACTGCACACATAAAGGCAATATGGAGGAAACACTGAAAAGTCCAGCAGGTCCCAGCCAGCATACAGCCCTATCAAAACATCACCACACCAACATTGTCTGCACTGCTACGTGGTCCTCTGCTTAGCATTCAGAGTCATATTGGTCAAGACAAACGCTACACGGTCCAGCACATCCCAATCTTACACATCTGAGTAGAGGCGATTTCTGCACTCCCTCAGCAAGTGTGCGCCACTGATGTGTATCCACAACACGCCAGTTCTTAACCAATTTACTAATTTTAATTACATAAATTGACTGAAGTGGACTGCAATGCAGAAAAGTCTTCTAAGCTTCAGCATCAATACAGCAGGAAGTGGATATTGTGAAACAGCCCTATGTCAGAATTAGTACAGAAAGGTTTTCTTCAGGTTGACAGTGATTGATTACAAGTGTAGGAGTCTGCTGAAGATTGTTCAAACTCATGAAGACTTTATTAATAGAGGCATACAGAAACATGATGCAAAATAATGGATACATAGGTTCTACTGCAAAATCCAAAATGATCTCAATTTGGTCAAACATACCTGGGAAAGAAGCCTCACACCTTCCATAATTCACACATCACTGTCTCACCTGATGTCTATAATCACAGAATCGGAGGGGTTGGAAGGGAGCTCTAGAGATTGCTTCCAAACCTCCTGCCAAAGAAGCTTCCTACAGCAGGCTGCACAGCTACACCTCCAGAGGAGACTCCACCGCCTCTCACCTTAGCCCATTCCAGTGCTCCATCACCCTCCATCTTTTACATACTGACACAGAACTTCCCACGCTCCAGTTAACGGCCATTTCCCCTTGTCCTGTTTCCACGGACCACTGAAAAGAGGTTGGCCATGTCCCTTTGTCTCCCACACTTAAGATATTTATAAACATTAACCAGATCCCCTCTCAGTCTTCTTTTCTCAAGGCCAAACAGACCCAGGTCACCCAACCCCCCCTTATAAGGAAAAAAAAAAAAAAGTACTCCAGGCACTTTTATCATCTGTGTGCTCCTTTGCTGGGCTCTTTCCAGGAGATCCCTGTCTTTTTTGTACTGGGGAGCCCAGAACTGGATGCAGGACTCCAGGTGAGGCCTCACCAGGGCAGAGGAGAGGGGGAAGATCTCTCTTGCCCTGCTGGCCATGCTCCTTTTAATGCACCCCAGGATTCCATTGGCACTCTTGGCCACAAGGGCAAACACAAGGGCTCATGGCCAAACTTTTGTCCACCAGGACCCCCAGGTCCTTCACAGAGCTCCTCTCCAGAATGTCATGCAACCACCTATAGTGATACTTGCAGTTATTTCCTCCCAGATGCAGGACTCTACACCTGCTTTTGTTAAACCTCACCTGGTTTCTTACTGCCCAGCTCTCCAGCCTGTCCAGCTCTTGCTGAATGGCAGCACAGCCATCAGATGTCAGTCACTCCTCCCAGCTTTGTAGCATCAGCGTACCTGCTGAGAGCAGACACTATCTCCTCATCAAGGTAATTCATGGAGACCCTGAACAAGACCAGATCCATCACTGACCCCCGGGGGAGCACTGCTAGTCACAGGTCTGCAACTGGACTCTGCATCACTGATCACCGCCCTTTCAGCTCAACCAGTTCTCAACACACCTCACTGTCCACTCATCTATCCCACACTTTCTCAGCTTCGTTATCAAGATGACATGGGAGACAGCATCAGAAGCCTGGCTGAAGTCAACACAGACAACATCCACAGCTCTCCCCTCATCTACCCATCCATCATAGAAGGCTACGAGGTTGGTTGAGCATGATTTCCCCTCGGAGAATCCACGCTGACTACACCTGATAACTTGTCTTCCAATTGCTCAGAGGTGCATCCAGAACAAGCTGTTCTGTCACTTTCCCAGGGACAGAGGGGAGACTGACTGGCCTGTAGTCTCCCAGATCCTCCTTCTTTCCCTTTCTGCAGTGACATTGGCTATCCTCCACTATTCAGACACCTCTTCTGTTCTCCAAGACCTGTGAAAGATGACAGAGAGCAGTTCAGCAACCACCTGTCAGCTCCCTCAGCATACATGCACATAGCTGCACCCATGACAGCCTTCTGCTCTCTCAGGCCTCAGAGGGAACTCCAGATACCGAAGCTCCCCACAGCCAATGGTCTGGACTGCCCTTCCCCCCTCAAGATGTCCACCCAGGTGCCCACACGAGACCAGAGAGGCTGTGTCCCCTTGGTCTGGGTTGCTGTCTCAGCCCGGCTACTGTGACAGGTGCCCACCGTGGTAATTTTAAGAGGCAGCAGCACCGTAGAGTTCTCAAAGGAGTAGAGAGGAGGGGAGGGGAGAAGAAGAGGGGAAGAGAGGAGAGGATCCTCCCTGCTCGCCCTCCCTGCCCCATGAGAACTGCCTGTGCTGCCAAGTACACCCTGTTTGCACAGCCTGCTCACAATGCTCCTGTGTTGCTGTGCTCCATAAGGGGAGCTGCTTTTATACAGGCAGGGCGCTGGCTGCCATCACTCCCAGCTCCACTCACACCACAGCAGCACAAGCACGGCTCCTGCATAACTGGGACGGGGTGGGAAGGGATCTGGGGGCTGCGGTGCTGACCAAGAGCTGCAGTTTTGGGGGTTGGTTCTGTTTACCTCTCTCCAGGATCCCTTGTTGCAGCTGATCCATGCGAGGTCCTCACTGTAAACAGCCATTACCTGGCCATCACTTTTGGGGTAGCCCTTGTGTTGTCACAGTTCGTGTACAGATTAGCAGGAATGTAATTTTGCAACTGAAAAAAATTGAGAGAGATATCTTCAATTTGCAGATTTAAGTATCTATGTGGAAGATTTAAGAACAAGTCATCAATCCATTTACTGTATTTCCAGTAACGTCATAGGAACTTTGTCCTGTTTGACGAGCATTTGCTGTAGGCTGCTGTCAGACATAGGATACTGGGCTAGCTGAACTTTGGAACTTCATACAGACAGTTGTCAATTTCACATTTGGCTCAAGGCTCTCTCCCAGTGCACCATACATTGTGCCTTTGTTTTTGTATAAATTGATGCATCTAGACTCAGTATTACATTCCTCTAAAACTGCATACTCAGTATTTTGTGCAGACAATCCAATTTTAGCTTTTCTATAGTTATGTATAACACCTTTCTCACTGCATATAACATAAGAAGAAAACCATTTAGCACCCCCTGCATTTGCTTGGCTTCTCCCTTCACAAAGTGGAGATCAGATGTCCCCAAAAATCAATAAACACAATTGCAAACTATTTGTTTTGGACAACTTACACACATCCCTTCCCTTCAGCAGCTCCTCCACCGAAGGCCAAAACAAAACTGCAGAGAACCATTCACTCTCAGGATGGCTTCAGCTTTCAACCCTCTGCTTTTTCAAGCAGCACACCAAGGTAGAAATCCCCCATTAGCAATCTGAAAGTACTGCAATAGGCAAAGAATACTTACGTTTGCCACTGCATTTGTAGTATTTGCACAATGTCCCAGCAACTGGTGATTCCAAAAGGAGAAAGCTTTTTAGTCTGCCTTTCAAGCCTTGTAGCAGTGAATGGAAGGCTTCTTTCTGAAAGCTACTCATGTTCTATATGCTGTACTCTGCTTGCTTCCTGCGTGCACACAACACAGCTGCCAGATTTAATAACCACGTTAGCCTGCTTTCCCCATAGAGCAGCAGAGATGGCAGGACGAAGATGCTCCCAGCGTGTTAATCTGTAGGGATGGCTCATTGAGCCCCGAATGAACATCATTTTACTGCTCTTGAAGAAAAAAATAAAATCAGTCAACACCACCTGCAGAAAAACATGCAAAAGGATTTCAGAAACGTGAATCCATACTTGCCTTCAGTGACATTAAAGTACATTATAGAAACGGCTTTTTTTTTATTGTCAGCTAACAAATCCTAGGGCTTCAGTTAATTACTTCTCAAAACATCCTGACCTTTAATTATGTATTTCGCCAAGCAACACGCGCTTGTACCCCAAAAGAACAGAATCATTAGCTGACAAATCAGTCGAGAACACTCCTCTCCAGAAGGAATTATTTCCACACCTGTCTCTGCTGACTTCTTTCAGAAAAGCAGAGTTAATAAAAGGGGAAAATTCTCACTTACCATTTAAATCCTCCCATGTACGGCAGTTCCTAGAGCTCAGGACTTCCTTATCAGATGTGGTCGCTTCACTGCCTACGCAGAGCATTTCCATACCTCCATCCACACACTCAGCTCTGTAGAAGGGAGGGGCAGACAGAACTAACATGCCAAGAGAAGGTGCCAGTCAGACAGTCCAAATCCACAAACTTAGCATAAACCCAGAAACGTATGGCTGAATTTGCAACACTGCGGGGAAGCTGCAGAGATCATATGACAACCACGCACACCTCTCTCTCTCTCTCTCTCTCTTTTCTATTCCCTTCACTTACCCTGTCTCAGCTGCGAGTGGTTTCTGCAGTAACTACAGACAGTTGGTTTCCCCCTCAGATAAAGTGTTACTGTGTGAGAAGTGAAGAGGAAGGCAGGCATTCAGCTTTCATTATGGCACAGTGCAGCAAGCAGTAGTGCACATTGAAGTGCAGAGGACTTTTCAGCCTTGTTATTCTTCCAGCAACAGGGATCTCACTACATCCACCCTGTTCAAAACTGAACTATCAGCCTCAGTGGTGTTTATTACATATTATGGAAACGGCACCACATTAAAATCGAGGAAGTGCCTGAAAGGAGCTGTGCAAGTCAGTGAGGCATGGTGTGCAGTGAAGCAAAACCTTAAAAGGCAAATTGCTGCCTATATGGCTTTCCTCTCAGCTCAGAAAAGACAAACCTATCCACAACCACTGCAAGGAGAGCAGATCTATCAGATCCTATCTTTTACAAGGGTGGATAGCAATAGGACAAGGGGAAATGGTTTTAAACTAAGCCAGGGGAGGTCGAGGTTAGGCATTACGAGGAAGTTTTTCACTCAGAGGGTGATGAAGCACTGAAACAGGTTGCCCAAGGAGGCTGTGGACACCCCATTCCTGGATGCACTCAAGGCCAGGATGGATATGGCTCTGTGCAGCCTAGTCTGGTGGTTGGCGACCCTGCATGTAGCAGGGGGCTGGAAATGGAAACCAGATTATCTTTATGGTCCTTTTCAACCCAGGCCATTCAATGATTCCATCTGGGAGACTGGAAGATGAGGTCCCTGGTACTGGGGCTGTGCAGCCTGAGCAGGGCTTTGTCTTCTGAGTCAGCAGCTAAAGACATGCACGGCTGGGAACGACATGACGTGCTGGTCATGTAACAGATGGTTAGTGAGCCCTGTGAAGCAGGAAGGGACTATGCCTCCCTGCCAGCCACACCTGCAGAGAGCCTCTTCACTGGCAAGAGTCATCACAAGTCAGATGGTTAAGAAATCAGAGGTACCTGTTCACACAAAGATCAGTCACTTCAGTTTGAAAAATACTGCTGGGCAAGTGCTGTGGTTTAACCCGGCAGGTGGCTCAGCACCACACGGTTTCTGGCTCACTCCCTTTGCATCCTGGGGGGTTGGGTGAGAGAATCAGGAGAAAAAAAAAAAAAAAAAAAAAAAGAAGTGGGACTCATGGGTTGAGATAGACCTGTTTACTTAGAGAATTGTCAAAGGATAACAATTATGAATTCATATATACATATGAATAAATATAACAAGTGATGCACAAAGCAATTGCTCCCCACCCCCTGATCTATACCCAGCCAGCCCCTCAAGCAGCAGAAGAGCCCAATGAACTCCCCACTTCAAAAGTCCTTCCACATGCCATACGATATGGAATATCCCTTTGGCCAGTTTCAGTCAGCTCTCCTAACTCTATTCCCTCCCAGCTGCTTGAGCACTTTGATGAGAATGGCCTTGGCTACTATACAATGCTGCTTTGCAGCAACTGTAAATATCGGTGTGTTACCAACGTTGTTTTTCTTCTGGAGCCAAAACATACCAATACACCAGATATTCTGAAGAAAAGAATTCCATCCCAGTTGAAACAAAGACAGGAAATGGGTACAGCTCTACCTTTGAGGTATCTGTGTTCTGACTCAGTGGGTCACTCTCTCCAGACTTGCAGATCTCACAACTTACATTAGCACAGTATGCATTAATACACATGGGCTCTGAACTTAAGATATTTTGCTTTCTTCCCCAGTGCAAAGTCCATCATTCTCATGATTTGAGATTTTTTTCCCCCCAATAAATATTTGAAGTCAGTCTCCTTTCCTGGATCAAGTAGTATTACATCAGAATGTCAATAATTAGGTTTCCCTGATTTCTTTGTTCTTGGTGCAAGGTTGTCTTGCCTCGGACCTAAAACAGCCTCCCAGCTGTACTGTCCACTTGCAACCTGATGGTTTTCCTTGTTTCACACGGGATGGATGCAGAGCTTTAGGCTGCAGGATAATATTCCCATTTTCAATCCAGAATACTTTAAAGACTGCTCAATTTTCTCTTCTATCACTGAACCAGATAAAATTTCCCAATCCCAAATATTGCCACTTTACACTGTTATATTTGATTCTTTCTGTACTCATTCTAGCCAAATCAAATGCGTATGGAACCAAATGTTTTACTGTGAGGTTTTTTTTTTGTTATTTTAAGTCACACAACGTCATCATTAGTATGTTAGCTAATGATCCTGATCTGATTTGTAGACACAGAATGGATACAGTAGATAGAGGCTGCACTGAGTTCATACAGCTCAAGTAAAGGAGGCTACATTAAGGTGACCACGAACAGAAGAGGAGAATTTTACATTTACCATCTGAAACTGTAGAGTCCCAACATTCATCCATGCTTCACTATTTTATCTAGAGAGGCAGGAAGAACAGATACATAACCATTAAGATTATAATTGAAGAGGGGGAAACAGTTATGCAAGATTCCATAGAAGAGAGGATTCCTAATCAGTCCGGAAACTGTCCAAGTTCCCTTCTTTCTCTGCTAAGATCTGGGTGGTACTGATTAGCAGAAGTTCAGAAGACAAAAAAGAACTGTTGAGGTTGTGTTATAAGCAGAGAGCACCACAACCAAAAGGCAGAGCAGAGCTTTTTAGCTGTTCCACAGCTTCAGCCTCATCTAAGACTTCCACTGTTGCAGGTTCTGCCTTTGACAGCCATTTACATTCTCAAACACATCTGAAAATGTTCTAACAAGATTACCTCCAGCAAGGAACTCTCAAACACATGCAGCATCCCATTGCAAGGGGTCTACTCAGCCTTTATGATTATGTAGTGCTTGGTTTGCTTACCATTACTGAAGGGCAGCAAGTAGAACTGAGTTATTGGTGTGCACACACTCAGGTGAAACAAGCTGTCTGCTCAGGGAGAAAGTCTAGCTTGCCTCAGCTTCTACCGACAAGAGGCCCATAGGGCAGCAGGTTAAACCAAGTGGAAAAAATAAACCCAACAGTCTAACTTCTCATAGTACATATGTAGCCTCCAAACCCCATTACGATCACACTCTGTTTTCTTTAGTATGTTATGTGTCAAAAATTATCTTGGTTTAGCAGATACGGTTCCCACCTTGTGGAAACCCACCACAATTATATTTAATTGTACCATTAAGGCTTTTCTGAGTAGCTAGATGTATGCCACATCATGGGAACAAACCTTATGTTTTCAAAGAGCAAATTTTAGTCTGCTTAGCACCTCAATTCTGTCCGTATGAGTGAGAAATTACCCCCACAGACACTGCAAAACAATTGAACTGGAGGCTAAGATTCACACAAGTCACCTATCAGCCCTTTCAAGCAAGACTTCTCTCTGCAGCAGGTAGCTTCACACCATCCTGACTTGAAATAGGGCTTTGATGCCTAATACAAAGAAATAAACAAGTCTGTGTAGAAAGGACCACCTGTAAGTCAGGAGGAAAAGATAAACAGCAAGAAAAGAATTCCCAGCCTACAGATGGTTCTTACATCTTCATTTACAAAACATTACTGCCTTGGTCAACAACCCAAGCCCTTTTAATCCTCTCCATCCATGAGGAGTCCTTATCCTTTGTCTTAGAGCTAGAGCTGTGAATATAGGAAGATAAAATCTTTGTAAAGTGCTTCACCCACGTGTGACAGCTTCCCATGACTGCATTCTTCTGCGGAAGCAGGATTACTTTCCCCAGGCAGCAGGCATTTGTCCTCTAACACTCACCATTATAGACCACTTGGGGATCTCTAGTTAAAAACAGATGTGAAATATTACAGTACTTGCTTTAAGAAAAAAAACAACAACAAAAAACACCTCAGCTCTCATTTCAGTGAAACTGATACATGCTTATCAATTCCCAGAATCTTCAAGGATAACTCAAAATCTCTGATTACAATGCTTTAAAACAAGTTTAAAGACCCAAAAGCATTGCAGTACAGCGCAATAGCAAGTACAGCAATGACAGCAGAGCAGCAAGGCACCAGGATACAACATGCAAGGATTTACCCAAACGTGAC